TCGGCGAACAGAATCAAAAGGGCGAGACTAAAGGGATAAATCAAGGAAAACAGACAAAGATCAGAAACCAAGAAAACAGACAGGGCAAGACTAGGCTAGGACTGGGAAACTAACGAGGGCTCTGTAAAGTAGCTATCACTGCTGGTGATAAGCGCATACAATACTCGGCCCTTTGATAGGAGTCAGATTGAGTGATATATAGGGAATGTGTGATTGGATACAGCTGTGTGCAATCAGTGCTGTGTGCAATCAGTACAATGGATGATGGGATATGTAGTCCGGGATGATATGCAACAGTTTGTGTAGTGCGAGAGTCAATGTAATGGAAAGGGTGACCTCTGATGGCAAACAGACGGATGTTCATGGACCGGATTCGTGACATTTACAGCATTCATTAATCTTTGTTAAAGTTAGTTAATGAAAATGAACCTTATTGTAGTGTTACCGAAGAGTAACTATAAAATGATAATATAATATAGTCATATACATATATAATTTTGTTATATGTATGAATCATACTTATGTATTATAAATTAACAGAAAAACAAAAAAGTAGTTATGCCATTGACACATGAATGATCACATAGATGCTGCAATATAAACATATATATATATATATATATATATATATTGTAAATGAAGTGTTTCAGAGAAATATACATCTCTAATATTGTACTGAACTGATTTGGAAAAACACAAAGTGACCAGCATTATTGTGATTGAATGAATAAACAGCCTGCATCCAACTTACTAAAGCAAGTCTTAATGAAGACAATGCCTCTACAACAGAAAGGAATGCAAGTTTTATTGTCCCTGTAGAATTCATGCATGTTTAGTTTGCTGTGTTTCAAATTACAATTTGTCATTTAGCATTCAGGCAACACAGGGGCTGCTAAATTACATCAAACTGCAGGTCTTTGGTTTAGTTGTCTTTTCTCTGCTCCTTAGAGGTACTATTTGAACTCACTTCATTATCTTTTAAAGCAGTACTGTAGACTAAATTAATTAAAAAGCTATTTGTTCACAAGGTGAGTCTGAAGAAGAACAGAACAGGTTTTTAATGTAAAATAGGGAAAAAGTGACAGATTTCTTTTTTTTTTTTTTTGCGTCTGGACAAAAATAAAAATGCTTTATCAAGCAGAAATGAAACTATTAGTGGAGTTTACCTACATAATTTGCCTAATGGCCAGATGGAGTATCGAATATCTGGGCCTCTGCACAACCATAAATTCAGTGAACATCTGTCACAACCTCTGGGTGTAGAAGAGCGAGGGAGGTAGGATGGAAGAATCTCTCTATCATTGGACCGTACATCTGTCATGCATTGCATGCACCTGAGGAAAGAATGTGCAAGAAGTGAAAGGTGCGGGAACGAAAGCATGAAAAGAAAACACTGGTCTGATCTGGTTTCCTATGCATTCTGACACTGAACAGATGACAGAAGTTCACGCAGTGAGTGAATCATGTTGAAAATAAGGAAACAAAATCTGTGTAGCATGAAAAAAAGGAAAAGGAAGCCAGAGAGGCCAAAATCAGTGTAGGAGCATAAAATATAACTTTTTTGTTTTGTCTAGGAAATACATGCACAGGTATGGAAAAACATAGCTGGGTTTACTACTACTTTAGAACAAACTAGATTAAAAACACATGCTGAGCACCAAAATCTATCAATTTAATAAATAATTTTTTACATATGATACCATTAAATCATAAAGGGTGCAGTATACACTGCACTGCAGTATAAACTCTTCTGAAATGTGTTGAAAGTTAAAAGTGTGTTAAAAGGGAAAGATGGAACAATGATAAAGGTCAGTGATGCACAGGCTGAATGCCTTAGAGCACCGCTGCCTGCCAGATCTCCCCAAAACAACTCAATCAGAGCAAACTAGAATAGATAATCTATTTATCAGCCAAATCTCTGACAAACGAGAAGTCAGTCATTGCATGACATCTCACTAGGGTGCAGTATGCATGTAGAACATACAGAGGTCATTTAATGAGGTCATGCTAATATGAAATAGATGTGGTTATTGATTAGTAATTTTAAGGTCAAAGGTGACATTAAATTGTCTTGAGAGAAAGGGACAGCTTTTATTATTTAAATAATTATTTTTTTTCAATAGTAAATGATCAATGGATCAGTAGACAGACTACAAAAATTTCAAAAATTTGTAGTTGGTAAGATTTTTTTTAATGTTGTTAAAAGAAGTCTCTTATGCTCACAAAGGCTGCATTATTTGATCAGAAATACAGTAAATGCAGCAATATTGTGAAATATCATTATGATAACAAAAATTAAAAAAACTTTTTCAATTTTAACATATCTTTAAAGGGGTCATATGATGTGATTTCAAGTTTTCCTTTCTCTTTGGAGTGTTACAAGCGTTTTGTTATTAGTTTAAGTGTTTGCTATTGACTGTTCAAATGCGGAGTTTTGCACAGCGCAGAGTAACGCATCGTGTGTGTGTGTGTGTGTGTGTGAGGGGAACAGGGTCACATCACAGGAGAGTGAACTGCCTGTAAGAAATCATAGCACGTCAGCTGTCTTAACCGCGGCTGGTGTACTGCATCATCACTGTGTCTGTCACGCGACTCTGTTGCCCTTTCGGGCTTGAACTGATGGTAAAACTAACTACATTATTAACTGTCTTGATATTTACTTTGAAAGCTTGAAGCTCGCGATTATGGTAAGGGGCGTTACATTTCCGACGCGTGCTTGTAGTGTTCGGCCAATCACAATGCACTGGGTCAGCTGGCCAATCAGAGCAGACTGCGCTTGTCAAAGGAGGGGGCTTTGTTGAAAACTACGTGTTTGAGAGAGGCGGGGCATAGAGGACCTACAATAATGTACAGTATTTTAAAAATAATGTGCTTTTTGAACATTAAAGCATGTCAACATATTCTGTTACACCAAATGCACAAAAAATGATCTTTAAAATAGCATCATATATGACCCCTTTAAATGTATAGTTTATTCCAATGATGGCAAAGCTGAATTTTCAACAGCAATCACTCCAGTCTTCAGTGTCACAAGATCCTTCAGAAATCATTCTAATATGCTGATTTGATGCTCAAGAAACATTTCTTGTTATAATCATGTTGAAAACAGTTGTGTTGCTTAATATTTTTGTGGAAACTGTGATCCTTTTTCTCAGGTATCTTTGATGAATAGAAAGAACAGCATTTATTTATACTAGAGATCTTTTGTAAGATTATAAATGCCTTTCCTGTCACTTTTAATCAATTTAATACATCTTTGCTGAATAAAATTATTAATTTTCCAAAAAAAACAAACAAAAAAAAAAAATATATATATATATATATATATATAAAAATATATATATACATTAATGACACAAACTTTTGAATGGTAGTGTATGGTAGTGTATACTGTACTCTGACAAAACATAAAATATGCTGTTGTATATGCTATATACAAGCTATATATGCTATATACAAGATGTCACATAAATGCTCAGGAACCATCAAAACTTCAGAAACTCCATAGACTGTCCGTTACTTTATCTAGATGAAGACACTTGAACTTTTGATTGGATAGATGGCCTACCATCCCTCCAGATACTGAGTGAAATAAATGGGCAATCTAATTTATACTTAGCCCTGTAGAGAGCAATAGAAACTGCTTCTGCAGGTCATTTACAAGTTAACCTCTTTAAATTAAATCTTTAATTATTTAAAACACCATGGGCGAGCTGCCTGAAAGTTAGCGAATCCTTCAGTACATTTGTAATACTCCATCATGATTTTAAATGGGATCTGCCAGACCAATACACAAGTACAGAAATAACAATATAATTTGTCCTAAATACTGTAGATGTTGCCCTTACAGGCTAATCCTCTCCAACTGAGAAATTCAGAGGACTTGAGAAGAAACCAAAAATGTTCTCTCAGACCAAATCAAATCTCTCTTAACAAGAGCAATAAAGCTAACCCAGTTTAGCATCAAAACATGTTTAAAACTCTAAAAAGCATCCAAAAGCATCCAATACACCAGCCGTTTGCAGACTAAAAACAAAAAAATGGTTCTCTTAAATAAAGGAGATCAAATGTCTTTTGTAAGAGTATTGCTCTTTATCAGTGAGCTTGTGTTTTAGAGGAAGTTTGCTCTACAGGTTTGGTAGTTTTTTTTTTTTTTTTTGCTATTGCTAGTGGTGCTTGCATCATTTTTACTATTCCTCATACAGGCTGTTAGCATATTCAATAACACTAATACAATGAAGAAATATAACTACCAGAAAATCAAAGAAACTTGTGACTGCATAACAACACTCTGGCAACCACAAAACACCATAATGGTGGTCAGTTTTGTATAGGTGAACACCACTCTCTTTTTCCAGAAAATGAACAAAAAATGTTCTCTGCTCTTTTTATCTATTGAGAAAATGTATGAAGTCTAAACAGGTCTGAAAATGATTTGAGTCTGGTCCACACAGAATTATTTATTTTTATTTTTTTTGTTTTTAGAATGCAGTGTTATGTGTGAGATGCTGCAAACGACATGTGATGTGAGCGCAATGGACAAACATGTCCATCTAGCATGTTAAAAAACAATGCAAAAGCAGTGCATTGAAATAAAATGAAAAAAAAAAAGTTATTTGTGTAAAGCCCCTAATTCGTATTCCTACATACACATTTATGCAGGAATAATGTACAGTCAACTGGTTGTTATCGCAAAATAAACCACAACAGGGTGATCAGGAGCCTGATGCGAAGATGAACACTGTAACAATATTACTGTATAATATCGATACAAGTTCTCTTAAATCACTTTCATAACAATCTATAGTCGCAAGATGGCACCTGTTGCAATTTAATGAAAAAGCTTTTATTTTCAATGCAAATAGGTCCTGAAGAAGCCAGGATGTTATCAAGCTTTGTGGGAAAGCCTGGGACAGAAAATAAGAGTAAGCGACAGAAATTTCCAATTTGAGGACCGGAACTAATTATTGTATACAATATAGTAAGTATGTGCACAGTGCTTAGGTAATGTATGCAAAAATGTTAGCAGGCTCACAGTATGCAGCAATGATTAAAAGGGACAGAGGACATTACTGATGCCTGACTGAACAAAACCCATTTAAGAGGAATATACTTGCAAGCTTTGGGGAAATTTGCAACCTTGTGGTTGTGCAGCTGTGCTGTCCTAGATGTAGGTTGAAGTAACTGTTTTATGCATAACATGTCCATCTAGCATGTTAAAAAACAATGCAAAAGCAGTGCATTGAAATAAAATGAAAAAAAAAAAGTTATTTGTGTAAAGCCCCTAATTCGTATTCCTACATACACATTTATGCAGGAATAATGTACAGTCAACTGGTTGTTATCGCAAAATAAACCACAACAGGGTGATCAGGAGCCTGATGCGAAGATGAACACTGTAACAATATTACTGTATAATATCGATACAAGTTCTCTTAAATCGCTTTCATAACAATCTATAGTCGCAAGATGGCACCTGTTGCAATTTAATGAAAAAGCTTTTATTTTCAATGCAAATAGGTCCTGAAGAAGCCAGGATGTTATCAAGCTTTGTGGGAAAGCCTGGGACAGAAAATAAGAGTAAGCGACAGAAATTTCCAATTTGAGGACCGGAACTAATTATTGTATACGATATAGTAAGTATGTGCACAGTGCTTAGGTAATGTATGCAAAAATGTTAGCAGGCTCACAGTATGCAGCAATGATTAAAAGGGACAGAGGACATTACTGATGCCTGACTGAACAAACCCCATTTAAGAGGAATATACTTGCAAGCTTTGGGGAAATTTGCAACCTTGTGGTTGTGCAGCTGTGCTGTCCTAGATGTAGGTTGAAGTAACTGTTTTATGCATATATATATATATATATATATATATATATATATATATATATATATATAGAGAGAGAGAGAGAGAGAGAGAGAGAGAGAGAGAGAGAGAGAGAGAGAGAGAGATTAATTTTTACATGGTGTTTAAATTTATACAAACCCGATTCCAAAAAATTTGGGACACTGTACAAATTGTGAATAAAAACAGAATGCAATGATGTGTAAGTTTCAAATTTCAATATTTTAGTCAGAATACAACATAGATGACATATCAAATGTTTAAACTGAGAAAATGTATCATTTTAAGGGAAAAATAAGTTGATTTTAAATTTCATGGC